CAAAACTGCTTCCTACCCCTTGTATAACCGTGGCTGTCTCTGATCCGTGTGGCATGTCTTCTTCAACTATCAGATTCTGGGTCACTCCTGTGTCTCTTAGGATTTTGATCTTAACCCTCTTCGTGGGGTCATCCACCGGACATACGGAGCTGTTCAACACAAATTGTTTGTATTCCTCTCTGATTTGACCTTTGATCTTCTTGCTGAGATCCTTATGCAATGATATAAACCCTTGTGGTTTATTTGAGATTGCGTTTCTGTGTTCAGCACCTTTCCTCGTAAAACAATTCGCCGCCATGTGTTCTACCTTCTCATAGTAGTAACACGTTATGTTTTTCCCTCCGTCGAGGTGGAGTGGGGGTGGTTAAAACAATGAGAATCAAACCTTTTACTTTTCAGGCTGTTTGGTCAATGTGGGTAGTTCGTCTGACCAGGTCTTGTCCTCAGACCAGCACTAGCCATTACTCTAGGCTTTGTGCTTCTCCCATATTCAGAAAAAAACAAATTCAAATGTCCAGGCAAAATGTAACACTTAAAGATAACACTATCTAATATATAAAAAAGAAAACTCCTAAACACACAAATATATATAAATATCTCATATATACTTATATACACATGAGTACACATACACGAGTACAAATATATATAACAATATGTGAAAAAAAAACATACATACATGTGTGTGTATACACGTTCTTTACTACAGATAGAAACATACAAAAGTATACCTACAGACATTATACATACACATATGCCCATATAAATATATATACCTGCATATACATACATACAAATATATGCATATGCACATATACACACATAGAAATAAATATACCAACCTACACAGCAACATAAAGTAAATATATATATAAAAACATACACTAACAATATTATCCTAGTGACAATAAAGGACTGTAAAGTTCATACCAGATTAAAACAAAACTGTTGATTATTAAATCTACAAGCAATTATAAAACCATTATCAAACAAAAGTAGATTATAGTTAGCATTGATGATACATTCCTGCCTCGCTTATGCGTTAGTGCATATTCGTCCACGAGGGTAGCCATCTCATAGGCTGTGTTGACTTGTCTTTTGTTGAGGAATGTCTTCAGGTTATCATGTATGCACCATTTGAATTCTTCTATTAGGATCAACTGTCTTAGCTTATCGTAATTCGCTCCTATTTCTTTCGTCAAAATCCATCAGTTGAAATATGTTTCTTTCTGCCTGAAGAACTCTACATATGTTTGCTTTTCATTCATTCTGTGATCTCTAAATCTCTGTCTATATGCTTCTGGTACTATTTCGTAATTTCTCAGGATCGATGTTTTTACGATGTTGTAGTTGGTGCTGTCCACAACTGAAAGGGAAGCATACATTTCTTTCAGAGCTGCCTGTAGTAATGTTGAACAGGCTTCAATGGGCCATTCCAGGTTTGAAGCAATTTTCTCAAAGTGCTGGAAATACTTGTCCACGTCTTCTTCGTTAAGTGTAGGTACAAAAGTCGGATTTGTTTGGTGAGTTGTTCCGTTCCTCCTTGTGTTGTATTTGTTCTTCTATTTCCTGGACATGGGTTTTCTGACTAATTCTGACTAGCTTAATCTGGGTCTCGGCTTTAAGCCTCTGTTTCGGCTTCGACCTTAAGTTTCTCAGAAGCCTAGATTGAACTGGAGAGTTTGGCCGCTTCTGACAACGTTGTCAAGAATACTATCGAAAATTTCATTATCAACCATATCTTCCGAGACCACTCTCACCAACTATGCCTTTTGCATAGACCGTCTTACGTCCAACTTCAGTTTCAACCCTATCTCTAAAATACGGTCCTTTTTCAGCCTTAATAGACAGTCGAATGTGGGAGAGTTTAGAAAAGTATCTCAGTTTATGTGTTTTATGCAATTCTATGACTGTACTGTTCCTCACTGTGAAGTCTTGTGGAAAAGGAGAAATGATAATTCCGAGATGAGCCTCCAATTCTGTTATGCCCGGAGTTTCATTGGGACTACGATAGCCAGGACGCAACAAGAAAAAAAAATAAATAAATAAACGAGAGTATCCCTGGATTCAAAGTAAGATTGATGAAAAGAACCATGGGAGGGGAATTCTCCAATTCCGGATGTCGGTGAATGCAGTGAGAAGATGAACCATATGCAGACACAGAACAACAGAAGACGGCACGAGAACATATAAAATACTTTATTTATAAAATATACAGTGTATTAAATTAAAGAAAAGAAAACTAAATAGTAAAAGGGATGGGGGACAATTGGTTGATCAAACATATCAATGCAACGAAAATACAGACAAAAAATAGTGAGTGATTATATATATATATATATATATATATATATATATATATATATATATAACATGTAAAGACTTACAAATTGTAGGGATCGATGTCAATTGATTGTTATCAGAAATAAAGTTCAAAAGAAAAGATGTCCATTCAATACTCCAAGCGAAAAAGGTGGAGTTACTAATGTCCTGATACAAATCATTGATTAATGCCGTTCAATCCTTGCTGAGGGAGAGTAGTATACGCAAATAAACCAAAGGAGTATAGACGACTTGTGTTTGAGAATAGCGTTCAGGATTCTTTCATCGGTCATTCGATTATTGGTGATGTCCGATTCCTCTGAAAGCAAACAGCTAAGTGAAGGGGTTAAGTTATGTGTTGGCATATGAAAGTGAGTAGGCGTTATCCATTGAACACTATTAGGGTCACTTGTACTTAGACAAGCAGCGTTCGTCTGGCCTGCGATCAGAGACCAGACCGGAGGTGGGGGAAAGGAAGGTTCTCTTCCAAGAACTGGCTTTAATTTAACCGGGTACAAAAAAATATTCTATAATTTGCATATTCAAAGAAATAAAGAGACAACTGTTTCATATCTCGTCGCAAATATGTAAGTTATTAAAAATATACTTGTAAAATCTAAGGTGGGGATACAATTATCGGTCTAACATAATATATATAGTTGAATGAGTGTATGCATATATGAATATATGTGCTTGTAGTTATATGTTTGTGTGTATATATTTTATAAATTCATGAATCATTCATACAAAAAACAAATATAAAGGTTAATGATTTAAATGGCAAGAATACATCGTCGCAAACACATAAATAAGATACACCAACCCCGAACCTGTATATGAATGATATGATCCCTGTTTATAAATTCCAGTTGCACAAGGTCTTTTTAATTTTTTACAAGCTTTCGTCTGTTCCTACAGACATCCTCAGGTATGGAAATAGATTTTGTTTATATATATATATATATATATATATACACACACACACACGTTTGTATTGATACCTGTTATATATATATATATATATATATATATATATATATATAGGGTGTATATGTGTGTATATCTTTGTATATATATATATATATATATATATATATTTGTACATCTTAGCATTTTGGAATGTATCATCAATGCTAACTATAATCTACTTTTGTTTGATAATGGTTTTATAATTGCTTGTAGATTTAATAATCAACAGTTTTGTTTTAATCTGGTATGGACTTTACAGTCCTTTATTGTCACTAGGATAATATTGTTAGTGTATGTTTTTATATATATATATATATATATATTTACTTTATGTTGCTGTGTAGGTTGGTATATTTATTTCTATGTGTGTATATGTGCATATGCATATATTTGTATGTATGTATATGCAGGTATATATATTTATATGGGCATATGTGTATGTATAATGTCTGTAGGTATACTTTTGTATGTTTCTATCTGTAGTAAAGAACGTGTATACACATACGCATGTATGTATTTTTTTCACATATTGTTATATATTTGTACTCGTGTATGTGTACTCATGTGTATATAAGTATATATGAGATATTTATATATATTTGTGTGTTTAGGAGTTTTCTTTTTTATATATTAGATAGTGTTATCTTTAAGTGTTACATTTTGCCTGGACATTTGAATTTGTTTTTTTCTTATTTGTGTATGCATATATATTTATTTTTCTATCCATTTCTATATATTTTAGTGTCCTTTTCTTTTTATGTTGTTCATTGATGAATATTTGTTTTTCTATTCTACCCATATTAAATTTTATCTATTCAACATTTTTAATCTATATATCTTTGCCTGTATAAGTTATATTTTAATAGTATGTTTGAATTTGTTTAATAACACTTTCAAATTTGAATATTTCTTGGTGTGTATAAGTGCGTGTCTTTATTAATGCATGTGTGTATAATTGCTTATATGTGCCTTTCATTGTATGTATGTGTTTTTTTTTGTTTTTTATTTAAGGGTCATGGACACCCATTTCCTGTTTCATTGCTTTTTTTACGCGTTTATATATCTAAATACGTCTACATATTTGTGTATTATAATCTGATTGTGTATGTATTGTCTTTTGCAAGAATTCACCCTCCCCTGACCATATCATCACTTCAAATGTATCTAAGTTGTAACGAAGCTCAAAGCAACATTAGATTTTAACATTTATTTTAACTTAATTTTTGGCCTCTCAATAAAAGCAAAATAAATAAGAAAACATGTATTTTTTCCTCAGATTCTTCTTAAAATAATTTTGTAATTTTTCAAACTTAATACAGATAAAATTTAAAATTAATTAGTTAGAATGAATTCTATTTTAGTCTAACCCTAACATTAAAGCATTAATTAATTATTATGGACATGGTTCGTTGTCAAGTTTTTCAAATTCTCATATTTTGATTGGTCATTCCAGCTTATGTAACAGTATATATATATGGAGATATATATACATACATACATACATACACACACACACAGAGTGAGACCGTTACAGGCTTTAAGAATGAGTGATATGATATTCAATGACAATATTTACATCACAATTTCAAATATGGTGCAGTAATAATTGTATAAGGTTTGGTTTTATAATCAATTAGAAAGTAGGTCAATGACATGAGAAAGCAATCACAAAAATTTTTTAAAAAAGCGGCAGGCGGGGGGATACTTACCAGCCTTGCACCATTGCTACTGATGGCATTTGTAGCAGATTATCTGGAAGAAGATTAATCTCCTTCATGATATTGGCAAGTCGAACTGGTAGTTCTTTGCGCAGAAATTCAAAGGAAGTTTTCTCACAAGCATTCTGACTCCCTAAAGCAGAAACAAGGAAAACATTAACTGTCAATTCACCTTTAGAGAAAAAAAAAAAAAAAAAAAAAATTTCTTAATCCCCATTTTAAGTGTTTCTTGAATTTCTAAGCTAACATAAAAATAAGTAACTGAAAACTTAGTTACGAAGCTTTTAAAAACATCCTATTTTAATATAGCTTTTCTAGATAATTCAAAAACCAAGTTTCAAATAATCTGTTTTATAATTAAGCTTAAAGATTACTTTATCAAAAATGTTTATTATTTGAAAATACTTCATGCAATAACAAAGCCCAACAACTGTCACTGAGAAAATGTTTTTATGCAGCTGAAAAATGTGAATTAAATGAAACAATTAACATTTGAGTGTAATACAAAAGGTTATGTTCAGAATTTGAATTATTTTAAAGGAGAAAGAATTCTTGATAAGTTGCATCTAAGAAAAAAAAAAAAAAAAAAAATGTTGAACAGTATCAATTTGCCAAACTTGAAAAATCCATGAAATTATAAATAAAATATAATAGATCTACAGAAAGTTGAGTATTTTTTTGTTTTGTTTTGGAGGGGTACACTATCAGATTGAGTCAAAATTTTTAAAGATGATTTTTTTGCAGCTTGTATCACCATGAATAGACCCCACTCTCATTGATGTGCAGTGCTGATGTACATGAATTGGATTCCTAATGAATAATTGAAATTCATCAGTACAGTGGCCATCCTGGCATCAAGTGCACAATTTGGTCCTATTTCTTGATGGGATATATCATAGGAGTGTAAATCAGATTGCCATAAGGAATCGGTGCTCAAAACAGAAAGCAGTTTACTGACATGATTTAACACTGAGATAACACCACAAGCCCAATTGTGTCCAACACAATCTAATTTGTAGACTGAAAGGCAGTAGCTTCATCGAAACCCACAATGGAACAGGGAATGTACAAAGTAAGAGATGTTGTATGGATAAAATCATCCAAGAGCCAATTTACCTCTAGAGTTGCAACAGGAAAAATGACCAAGATTATCAGTTCAGTCTGTTCCTGTCAATGAGCTGCTATGTCATGATAGGGACCTTCAATCAGTAGGGGATCAATATTCAATGGTGAGTGAAACTGAGGACTCATCCTCAAGTGAAAATAAATTTTAAAACTGGTCTGCACACGTTCAACAAGTCTTTAGCAGAGTTTGAAACAGCAATGAAAGTGAAGAGCCACCCTGGTAAAGAAGTACCGGACGTAAACAGCTACACACTAGTTCCTGGTGCTGTGATCAAGAGATCAGTGGGGAGTGTAGAAAAGAAACAAAACAGGGTAAAATATTGTGGTAGGGTGCATCTGGTGCAGGAGGAGTGAATTTTTTATCTAGTTTGCTACCCTGGGTCTGAGTGGTACTTATCATTACCAGATAGGCTGTGTGAATTGGCCATTTGGGGAAATTTACTGATTAGCACAGGTGGCACTACTGATGTATTTGAATAGCAGTGGTTGTGCCTATTAATTTACATGCGCTAGATATGTGGGACAAGTATGAGATATGAACAGTGGATGCAGGCAGTTGCAGTTATTCCAGTTTTGTTGAAGGCAGGAGCCTTTGCTAATGGGGTGTGGCAATCTTTTGTTAGTCTGAGAAACCATGCCAGAGTGGACTATTGCAACAACAGAACTACTACTCATAAAAAGAACTTTTCAACTTGTGATTGATTGTGAATAAACTAATTTGCTCAACAAGAATATCAAAACTTAACTTTTAAAAAATTATCTTAATTTTTCACTGTATAGACCCATCAACATCTTCAGTGTTATTAGCAAACTGTAGATATAATCAACAAGATTATTGATCATCTCTTGAGTGACAGAGTACAGGTTTCAATTGGCTTGGTCCACTGTTGATATCCTAACTGCCTTTTACTCACAGAATCAATGAGGCACTAGAAAACAAATACAACTCAAGGATGATTGCATTAGATATTTCAAAGGTCTGTTACAATGTGTGGCATAAAGGGTTACTGTACAAGCTCTGTAGCTATGAAATCACTGGGAGAATCTTTTCAATTATAAATTCCTTCCTAACAGGTAGATCCCTGAAAATAGTTGTCCATGGCCAATCGTCTGAGGCCCAAGCAATCAATTGCAGGCATCCCCCAAAGTTCGCTCCCTGATCCAACCCTCTTTCTACTTTACATAAATGATCTGTTGCAGAGTATATGCCAATCATTTATGAATATCTATGCTGATGATACAACAGCATATGGAGTACACCTCTAAAACTCTAGATGAGCAGAGAATTACATTGTGATAACAGATGGCTAGTGACTGTTTTAAGTGCCAAATGAAGTTTCAGCAAGCTAAAACTTATAAAAAATTATTCATAATCTACAATGAGAAATGAAATGTTATCTGGGTTTGTAAGAATTTCCCATGAAAATGAATGTGCTCAATCCCTTGACAGAAGGGATTTGACAAAGTCATGCATACATTTGCTCAGGTCTTGAAAAAAAAAAAAAAAAAAAAAAAAAAAAAATACTATATAAAATTCACTATTTTTATCCATGTTTAAGGTGTTCAAATTATTCAACAAAAATAATCTCAAGTTGATGTTAAAAATTGCCACAAAACATTGATTTAAGAAGAAATTATTTGACATGTCTCTAATTTGTATTTAGATACATTATATTTATTTTCAATTTTTCTAGTTGAATTGTTCCCCTACATTGCATATGATCCATCATTGTACATAATTAGGTTACAATAAAATTTATATTTTATATGAATACTACCTTATGAAAATTGAAATGATGTAGAGTGCAAAACCTTTGCTCTGGCCTTGAGCACCGATTGTGACAAACTCAATCCAGAATGCAAATGGAACTTGTATATATGATCTATCACTGAAGATGCTTAAAAAAAAAAAAAAAAAAATGGTTGGTTCCCTATACCGCTCGAGCTCTTGTTATCTTCTACATTTACAAGTGCCAGATCAAGACAAAAATGGAGTACTGCTATCATATATAGGTTGAGTAGGTGACAAATTATTTTCTACATTGTAATCCCTTTCTCACAGAAAAATGTTACATGTCTCTCACTGCTCTATCATTATTGTCATGGAAAAATGTTCAAACAAAATACATTCTGTAGTTCTAACCTTCATGATTAAGACCTGTCATGCCAAGCACATTGAAGCAAAACACCTTCATTCACTTCATATTCCATTGCAGAGATGCAAGTTCCACTCCACCAATTGCCAGAGGATGATTCTCTGATCATTACAACCTATTCAAGTCTCAGGTCAACAGTTATCTTCCCCACATATTGACAAACAGTGCCTCTGTAACACTATCTTGATTGGCTCATGAGCCTTGTACAGGGTGGACATCATTGTATAAAAAAAATAAAAATAAAAATAAATAAATAACTTCATGTTCAGTAACACATGGCCCCCCTATTAGAATGTAATCAGGCCAAACTCCAAGCCTGAGTTTTGGTAACAGAATGAACATTTCAGACAGTAGTATTTTGTATTGTATATACTACTTTGGAATTTGAGAAATTTCAGAAGACAATAAGTCTGTCATATTGATCTGGAGGCAACTAAGAGGAATAGGAAAGATCTATTCTTATTAAATCTTAGTGAATTCTACCTGGTTTATTTCGGGTTCAGATGTTCTGAAGCATTCTTTGGATTCATTACATGGATTCTAATTATTATTATTATGACACTATTTAGCTATGGTAATTAGTTAATTAATTAACCATAGAAATTAAAACAAGAAAATACTGAGAATGGAAAAGAAGATACTCCAAAATTTTTATTTTTTGCTTAAGAATAAAATCGAGTTACTTTCTCAGAGACCCGTAGATTTTTATTTTTGCATAACGCATCTTCAAAAGGTAAATAAAAGTTAAATTATTAAATAATTGTGGAAAATATGTTCATTTGTAAAAATTACTAGATAGTTAAAAAAAAAAAAAAAAAAAATGCATTCACTTAGGTTTCTTAAATTTTGTATTAATTCTAGCCAGTCATTGCCTCAGGTTATGACTAATCATTAAATAAATGGTTGTATACTTTTTTATGCTATAAAAAAAGTAATATTTATTTTAAATTAGATTAATTTAACTTTAAATTTTCTAATTTGACTTAAATAACATGTCAGAAATATATTTTTTAAAAGAATTTTAAAATTGATAAATTTCTTAAAATTAAGAAAATAGACACTTAAGAAAATTTTAAGAAATCAAAATTAAATTTGACATTTCAATCTGTATAAGTTCTACCTGAAATAAACTAGAATATTTTACTTGCTGGAAATAATAAATTTAATCATTTAGTTTTCAATTAAAGCAAAAATGAAATCTTCAAGAATGTTTTTTCATTTTTCAGAAATTCATTTTGAACTTTAGGTATTGAAAATTTATGCCAAAATATTGGAGGTACCTAATTTTTGACAAAGTCCAATTAAAACAATTACATTTCAATACATTCTTCTGGAAAACTAATACAATGTTCCAAATACATGGCTATAGATCAATTATTGTAGAAGGGGTAGGGGAAAAAACTGAATTAAAAATTTTATTGATTTAACAATCTTAAAGCCAAAATTTTTAAGAATATAATCCATTAAAATGAAAATATATACTATTTTTGTTCTGTTCAATGACATCAAGAATGTCATAATAATCTGGGGTAAGGAAGAGTCAGTTGTTTACAATGAACTTCAAAACTACTGTATTGAGAGGTTTAAAATAACATAAAAATTAAATGATCTTTGAAGAGTTGAAATCAAATTTAAAGCACTAAGTCATTAATGATTAAAAAAATTAAATGATTGGTGAAATTGAAATAAAGTATCCAATGAAAAAAATAAATAAATAAAAATAAAAATCTATTCACCTAGTATCCAACAATATCCCAACAGCTGCATTAAAAAAAAAAAAAAAAAAAAAAAAGAAAAAGGAAATGATTTTGATATCTTTTTCTATATTTATAAAATGAAAGCAATTCAATAA